CATTGACTCAAATAAGAACCAAGATTCAAGGAAATACAAAAGTACATTAAATCAAATAAGAATCAAAGATTTAAGAAAATACAATTTAATATTAGAATGCTGAGGTTGAGTTCCTAATAAGTTATTAAAGACAAGTTGAGATTCTTTTATCGACCCATACAAATAGAATTGTGTTTTCCTTGCATTGCATCTAGTCCTTTTCAGTAATGTGATAAAGAGGATGATTAAAATAATTTTTAAACTAGAGTAATTTAAATGTTAAACATTTAAAGTTATGGGGGGTATGCACTGTATTCAGAGGGATAAAGTAAGGTACATTAATCTTTAATTATTTTTTTTCAGAATAAGCATTCTGGGAAAAAAAATATCAGGAAGATATTAAATTAACCTTGTGATGATAATATTAATTTGTTTAAATCTCAGACTGGACAGAGATCAGTATATCAGAAGGATGGCCAACCAAAGAATCTTCTTCTTCTTCTATATCTTAAGGGCCCACGATCCCGACTTCTACAATTTTGAAGGTAATAGGCTTGTGCTTAACTAAAATAAATATTTGTCTCTGTTTATCAAGACTCAGTCCAGCCTTAAATATGGAGGATTAAATATTAGGAATTTCAATGAAAAATGTATTACATCAAAAATAACCTTGATTGTTATTAATGTTATTTCTGGTTCTGGAAGGGTATGTTGCTGAATCATTGCACTGGCATATGTGCAACTGTTGGGGATGCGATGCTGGTATTTTAAGGGCTGCTAGCTGATGTTAGGGCAGTTTTGAAGCTCTCGATTGAAATCAAATTTACGGCGGTATTGTCCAGGTGGTTCCAAGAGATGATTTTGTGTGGGGAAATTGTTTATATTGGACTGTCTTACACAGGCGCAGTGAAGCATTTATTATTGTTCCAGATGTAATTGCTTATGGGGTTGTAAGAGGTGAAGTCAGTTTTAGTGAGCGTTTGGCTCTGATTAAGGGACCTGGTTTCTGTGGGGTAAGAAATGTGTTTGTTGGGATGGACGGCAATAAATACCTCAGACTTTGGGCATTTGAAATTTAATTACAGCTCCTTTGTATACCATTTGGACATATACAAGTTAATTTAGTGCCTTTATGTGCCATTTGGGCATATAAAAGTTAATTATTGTTCTGTTGTGTGCCATTTGGGCATATGAGTGTTAATTATAGCTATGTTGTGTGCCACATAAAAAAAGGAGATGAGTTTTTTTTTTAGACGTAATACAGCTGCCAAATGAAATAAAAAGCTAGTTAGATGTGCTGCTCTCCTAACTCAATCAACAACACAAACAAGTCATATTATTACATTATGTATGTAGGGTTGGCTCCCTGCATAAAACGGCATTTATTTACAAGAAATTAAATAAATTTAATTCCCTTTTAAGCATTTGCTGACTTCATCATTTTAAAAAAAAAAAAACAGAAAAAATCTGTTAGATGTCATTAACTCAATTTACAAGTCTAAACAATCTTCCAAAATCTGTTAGGTGTCATTAACTCAATTTACAAGTCTAAACAATCTTCCAAAATCTGTTAGGTGTCATTAACTCAATTTACAAGTCTAAACAATCTTCCAAAATCTGTTAGATGTCATTAACTCAATTTACAAGTCTAAACAATCTTCCAAAATCTGTTAGGTGTCATTAACTCAATTTACAAGTCTAAACAATCTTCCAAAATCTGTTAGGTGTCATTAACTCAATTTACAAGTCTAAACAATCTTCCAAAATCTGTTAGGTGTCATTAACTCAATTTACAAGTCTAAACAATCTTCCAAAATCTGTTATGTGTCCTTAACTCAATTTACAAGTCTAAACAATCTTCCAAAAACATTCTATAAATGTTCTGCCTATTATTTCAGCTCACATTTTCTTTGATGACGCCATGGAGTTGGATGACAATAATGAACGTGTGCCCAACCGTTGGGTCAAGGATCTGGTCAGCTGTATGGATGTGGCCTGCAGGTCAGAGAGCTTGTAGTGAATCTTTTAAAAGAGGCCCACCCTGTGGGCGTGATGTGTTTACATTCTATAAAATCACCAATATTATTTAAAAGTCAAGACGCTCACATCAATGGACTCCCCACCCCCCATGACATTTTTGTTTTTGGAAAAGAAAAATCCGTATTACATAGTCTTGAAAAAAAACAACCCGTCATTGAATCGACTGAACCTATTTTAATTTTTTTTTTCCCATTGAAACTCTCCCAAACTTCTTAACATTTTTATATTTTTATTTCAGTCCATGGTAAGCCAATGAAAGTTCATCCACCCACCAGTCCCCACACCTTATGGTGGACAGCTTATCTGGCAGATGCCAGGAGAAAATCTGCTCTTTGTTCACATGAAGGACATGTCCAAAATCAGAAACAGAAAAAGATGGTCTCAGGTAAATGATAAACTAATGAAATTTGTTGATTTATGATTGGAATGTAATTAAATTTAATTTGATTTCTGCAACTGGCTGACATAAGATATGAGATTGAGCTTACGTACTGCTATCCCAATGAAGCAGACATAATTGTTTTCTTTGTTCATCAGCACCATCATATACATGATATTTTTACCTAAAAGTATTTTTTGAAAAATGACATTGGTTTCAATTTTGGAGAAATTGATTATGAACCAACCTTTGAAGAGCTGATAATGACGTTAAAATTTTGCTTTGTTCCTAGCATTTTAACATAGTATTTATTTGAGTATCTCTTATCTAGAAATTCTATATTAATTGTTAAATTAATAATTTTGTTGGGAAATATGTTTCCAACAAATTTATTTTTTAAAAGCTTTTGAGGTAACTAATAGTATTTTTTTGTTAAAATTAGTCAGTAATTCTATCTTTAAATTTGGATTTTAAATAACATTTCTGTCTTCAATATGTTACATTTAATTATGTTGCTGTTTTTTCTAGGTGATGTATATGTATTACCTACTGGGATATCGTCATATCATGGCCTGTAAAAATGAAGTGCTTGAAAAAATGAAAACCAATGATGCTCTGAGAGGAGGTTTTGGTCTAAACATCCAAGAAATAAACTACCTTTTGGGAGAGAGTGCCTCTGCTAAGGTGGACAATCTGTTTTTAAGCATGCAAATTTAAATAATGCCTATTGCATAGAAAACTTGAAAAGGGGAGGGGGGGGGGAGTTGGGGCTATTAAGGGAAAAAAGTTGTAGTCATCATCTTTTATACAAGAAATGCCCTGCCAACTATTATATTTGTGCCTAATAAAAATTCATAATTTATTCATTTATTAAAATTAAAAGCTTATGAGTTATTAATGCCATATTTAAAGTGTAAACCTCCATTTAATATAAGAAAATGTAAACAGAAAAAAAAAAAAATGTGGTCCTCAGTTTCAGGTCTCTTGTCCATAATATATTTAAACACTCTACCACTCTTTTCTTCGGCAGTCTCAAAACACATTCCTGCTGGCATTTGATGGTGACACAGATTTCTCACCAGGTTCTGTAAAAATCCTGCTTGATAGAATGAGAGATGAAAATTTCGGTGCAGCCTGTGGCAGAATCCATCCAATTGGAAATGGTGAGTATTAGCAAAAACATTAATTTTTATACATTCATTTATTTGTATTCATCATTGCTCTCATAAGCCTAAAGCCATATAATCTTCGTTGATAAAAGACAACACTGCATCTTTCTGTTTAGCTTCTTCTAACCAGCATTGGACATATTTATTTTCCTTCATTCTGTTTGCATTTATCTCTTCTAAGGTCCTATGATATGGTATCAGAAGTTTGAGTATGCCATTGGTCACTGGCTCCAGAAAGCTGCTGAACATGTGTTTGGGTGTGTTCTGTGTAGTCCTGGTTGTTTCAGGTATGGGACTGTAACTTATTGTTTTTGTTAATGTGCTAAACATAATTTAATTTCTTGCTGAAACTATTTTGAAAATATACTATTTATGAATGATGCGTCTCTCTAGAAGAAAAAAAATAGTGTGTAAAGGGAAGGAAGTGAAGCACCAAAAAAAGATAAACATTTTTAAAAGCATGGTCCTCATATTTACAAGTACTCGTTGAAAGAGAAAAAAAAGGCAGATGCTCAGGAACCGCTCTCCCATCATGTAGATGAGAGGCTAATGGAAATCAACATCCCTCTGAATTGATTTTAAGCAAACAACTTTACTACCTGATATTGTAAAAACAAACTTCATTATTTATATAAAGGAATACAAATGTTATAAGTTATAGGATTACGGGCTCACCATTCAAGTACACAAAAAAGACAATGTTGTTTCACAACACTAATTTGGTTTTTTTCATACGTCTTCCAGTTTGTTTCATGCTGCAGCCCTAATGGACACAAATGTTATGAAAAAATACACAACTGAGCCAAGTCACCATTTACAGTTTGATCAGGGTAGGTTGTCTGCTTGTCCTTAATGTTAGACTCACTGAGTGTGTCTTTTCCTCTTCTTGAGCTTTACAGATACTACACTTATTATAAAATGCAAATGTGATTTTTTTTCATTTGTTAACTACATTATATGTCACTTTATCCAAAAAATTATCATCTGTATTACATAATTTTTGGCATCCTATTTGCTTGATCATTAAAAACTGAATATTATTTAGAGTTGATGGCAGTTAGTTTTAAAGTTTTATGCATTTATTTAAGCATTGAAAAAATTACTTTAATAGACTATATCTGTATGAAATCTTATATTACATCTAAAATTATCCTTTATAATTATACAACATAAATCACACAAATTAAAAATTACCAATCAATTTACCATCAGTATCATCTTGATAGCAATGAAAAAACAGCAACAAATTTTAAGCTGAGACGGTGCAAAATTAAACTTTTCTATATTGGCTTATAACCATAGAAATAAAGTGACCAATCCGCTTTTATTTATTTATTTAACAACTAGAGAAAGGAAAAAAAGTTTAAAAGTTAAAAATTCTGGTACTACAGGTGAAAATAGGTGGATGTGCATACTTCTTCTTCAGCAAGGCTACAGAATTGAATATGCTGCAGATGCCTGGACCTTTGTGCCTGAAGGGTTCTTTGAATTCTTCAACCAGCGTCGTCGCTGGATGCCCTCCACCATCGCCAACATTCTGGATTTGCTGGGGAGCGCCTCAATGACAACAAAGAAGAACCCCAATATGAGCATTTTGTACATTTTGTTTCAGTGGCTGTTGATGCTAATGACAATTCTAGGACCTGGGACCATCCTCATGATGATTGCTGGTAAATATAATTACATCAGCCATCCCAAAACTGTGGTCATTGACTTTGGCCCTCCTAAAGTTTTCACATTCATACTTCAATAAGACATTCTTGAATTCTGAATATATTTTTAATGGTTTTTTCTAACTTAATCTATACAGTGTGATACTGCTTAAGGAATGTATGTCATTTTATCGCAAAATAATTTTAAGGAAAGAAAATGCATATAAAAATAATGTTAAAAAATGTATCTTGACATTGAAATCTAAAACTTCCTCACCCAAAAAAATCTCAGATTATTTTTATTTTTATAAAATTTTATAAAAATTATCTCCCAGGTGCAGTGAAGATGACATTAATAGAAAGCTATTTGTTTGTAACCATACCTTCCATGGCATTTACAGTCTCCTGTTTCTGGCTCACGACAAGGCTTCAACTAATATTTGCAGCAATCCTCAGCATCATCTACACATTTATTATGATGGTAGTATTTATGGGTACCATTCAGACAGCTGCAAAGGAGAACATATTCCATCCTAGTGTTATTGTGATTGTTCTTCTCTCTGGAATTTTCATTATTGCTGGCATCTGTCATCCTAAGGTACCGTATATATGTTCTTTTCCGACATTATAGCTATTTTTAAATTTCTAGATATGACTATTTAGAATATATTTTGAGAAGGATTTAATTAAAATTGGCCCCTGTTAAAATAAAGCTAATTTTTAAGGGCATGCTAAGTTTTACTTTTTGAGGCTGTTAATTCAAATTCTTTGTAATGACTTTGACAGAATGTAATAATTTTTTAAAATAGGAAATCTGGTGCCTGATACATGGTGTCCTCTACTTACTGACGATTCCCTCTGGGTATTTGCTGCTGGTCATTTTTTCAATCTGCAACCTGAATGATGTTTCATGGGGCACAAGTGAAGTGCCTACAAAGACCCAAAGATTGGAAATGGAGAGGAGAAAAAAAGAAAAAGAGGAAGAAAAGAAGAACAAGCCAAAGAAAGGTTTTCTGGCTAGGATATTCAACAGGGGAGAAGGTGAAACAGTTTTGTCAACCAGCAGGATTGTAACTTTGTGCAAGTTGAGGCACTTTTGCCCCTTGCATAAAGTTAATTAAAATGCATTAGTTTTGTATTGATATCTCGTACAATAAATGACATTTGAGAGAGGGAAGTGCCTATAGTTAAGATGATGTTTTATAAAAGTTGAACACACGATATTCATTGTTTTTACAATGCTGTTTTCAAAATTGAATTAAATTAAGAACATGCAGCAAGATCTTACGAAGCTGAATTATTTTATTTTTAAAGGGGGATTCACAAGCTATCCATGTTATTTGAAGATCCATCATCCATTGAAATGCATTTGATCAAGCCACCTTTTTATTTGTGCCATCCTAAATCATCTCTATAAATATTTTATATACATTTTATCTCTACACGAGTTAAAGAGGTTATGGAATACTGAAAATAGTTCTTTAATTGTTATTTTGAATGTATTTGCAATTTATAATAATAGTACTCAAGCATATATTATATACACTTAAACTTATAATAATAATACTCATTAGATAAGACCCATGAAAGTGCACCTTCATTTTTTAATGTTATGTCTTATATTTACCAGAACACCTGAAAGAATTAACCAACCTGGTAAAAACTTTGATACCTGAACGTAACCAACAGACAAATCTTGTGACTGGTGAAATGTCTGACCAAACAGTCATTAACTTACTGAAAAGGATTGAGGAGAAACTAGCAGTAAAAATTTCTGTGGTGCTTTGTAGGTATCCATCCTGGTTTAATGAAAAAAAATAACAATAAATTAATAATTTTACACCATTTCTTCCCCAAATTGTATCACTCTACTCACCTGGGTAATGTAATTGTATCACTCTACTCACCTGGGTAATGTAATTGTATCACTCTACTCACCTGGGTAATGTAATTGTATCACTCTACTCACCTGGGTAATGTAATTGTATCACTCTACTCACCTGGGTAATGTAATTGTATCACTCTACTCACCTGGGTAATGTAATTGTATCACTCTACTCACCTGGGTAATGTAATTGTATCACTCTACTCACCTGGGTAATGTAATTGTATCACTCTACTCACCTGGGTAATGTAATTGTATCACTCTACTCACCTGGGTAATGTAATTGTATCACTCTACTCACCTGGGTAATGTAATTGTATCACTCTACTCACCTGGGTAATGTAATTGTATCACTCTACTTACCTGGGTAATGTAATTGTATCACTCTACTCACCTGGGTAATGTAATTTATTTACAATCTATGTCCTTGGAAGAAAAAATTTCATAATAATAATTATAGAATTAATTGCATTTTGATCTCTATTTTTAACTTTTAAAAACACCCTAACCCCTAACCTGGTAATTGAATGGGCCTACCATTTTCTGTCTACTAAATATCTAAATCAGTTAAATTTGTCTGTGTATTCTTGCGGTCAACGACTTCTTATTAGAAATGGATGCGTTTTTTTATGGTCCTTCTTCAAGTTTTCCCTACATTTAAAAAAAAAAAATGTGTACACTGTGAACACTATTTAATCACAATTTATAAGCACTGTTGTGCCAAAGTTATATACTAATATTGATAAATTCATCCCACCCTGCCAGAAAATGGTTCCCAATGATGGCACTCTTGCACAGGTTGTTGTTGAGCAGCCTCACAGCAGCAAGCCTCAAAAATCACGACACTCTTTTGACATTCATCGAACCCTGCCCAAGACAATAGATGAGCCAGAGGTTGAGCTGCCTCACGGCAGCAAGCCTCAGACATCACGACACTCTTCTGACATTCATCAAACCCTGCCCAAGACAATAGATGAGCCAGAGGTTGAGCTGCCTCACGGCAGCAAGCCTCAGACATCATGACACTCTTCTGACATTCATCAAACCCTGCCCAAGACAATAGAGGAGCCAGAGGTTGAGCTGCCTCAGCGCCCAGTAGCTGAACCAGCATTAGTAGCTGTCAAACCAGCAGAACCAGTAAGTTTTTCTGTAACATAACATCCATTTTGTACATATATATATATTGCTGCTGCAGCCCTACATCTGTGGTCTGCAAACTTTGTGTGTGTTCAAACTCTCTTACTCTCTAGTTACACTCAACTCCAAAGCTTTGACCCTGTTTAGTTTTTTTAATTTTGTCATTAATCATTCAGTCATTGACATCGCGGGAGTTTTCAAGGGTTTCTTAATGTTATTCCCCCAAGGTTTCCATCCTGAAGAAAAGAAAAAAGAAACAGATTGTTCATGATGAGCTACGCAACCCACTGTGGGCAGAAGATAGAGGCCTTGGAAATGGCGTCACCATCAGTGTATGAAGTTTTAGCTTTAATTTTCCGTTTTAATTGAATGGCTTCTAAGGGAGCTAAGTGTAGACTTTTATCAATTTAAATGCAAAAAATAATAGTCATGTGTAAAAAAGAAATAAAAAATTTTAAAAAAAGCTCATACTAATGGTATGCATGGACACAAATGGCCCTGTCATGTTTAAAAACTCTGTAAACTTATTATTTTTTCATGAAAATTTTGCATTTGCATCTCCTTGGTGTTTCACTGCTCTAAACATGCAATAAATAAATAACTTTATTTTATAGAAAATAGAACCACAAGTCTCCCTTGCATTTTTGTTGTACAAATAATGCAATTGTGCCATCCTTTCATTAGGTACCTGCTTTCAAAGAGTGTAAACTTGCATGTTAAACAGTCCATTTCAATTAATGGGGATTGTAAGTTTGTACATTTGTTGTTTTTTTTTTCTCTTAAGGCTAATAAAAAGGAGATAGACTTCTGGCAACAGTTCGTTACCAAGTATTTGCTGCCAATTTATCCCACTCCTGAGGAGAAGGTAACTTGAACATTTTAGCTTATTGGCCTATTTTATTCTTGAAAGAAATGTGTTTTAAAATTTGCTTCAACAAGGAAGTGTAATTTTCGGTTTATCAATGAAATTAATGACTATTCTATTACATATGACATACACCAAATTATTGAAGCAAACAAACCTTATAAGGCTTGGAAGATCTGATTTATAACATTTTCTTACAGAAAAAAAACACAGATGGCCTGAGAGATCTCAGGAACTCATCAGCTTTTGGGTTAATCATTCTCAACCTTCTGTGGATGGCCCTTAATTTCATGTTCCAGTATACACAAGCTGGGCGTATCTCTTTTGACTATTCATTTGGTGGCAAAACCTACCAATTTGAGGTAAACTTGTTTTCTTTTGTGCTGGAGATTTAGGAGTTTTCCCTACAAATTTTACCTGTAACAAATTTAATGTTAATAAAGTAAATTCTCCACTTGGTATTTTCATGTCGGCAAACTGTTTCTGATTATAGCTTAACCAGTAAAATGGATTTGTTTGTTCCAGCTACCAGGAAAGTATCCTCGGCTTTGCCTTTGTGGCTCTTCTGTTACTGCTTTTGATCTTACAAATGATTGGAATGTTGATGCACCGCATGAGCACATTACAGCACCTTCTGGCCATCACAGAGATTAGAATAAGGTAGGACCCCAAGAAATGTTGCCAGTATGGCAATTCCTAAATGTTATTCATTAACAAAGCAAATTTTATTTATTTGTTATTCAATTTTAAATCTGCTTAAATTTTTATGTAATAAACTGTTGATGCTACTGAAAATATAATTTTAAAAAATGGCTCTAGACTCTTAGATGAACTTTCATAACAACTTTTTTTTTTTTTTACTAATCAAGGAATTTTATTTTAGTGTTTTTCTGGCCATGAAACTTCATCATTTCAAATAAATTTTTAAAAAAACTAAATTTTTTAAGCAGAAAGAATTGCAAGGGTTTTTGTGATCTTTACCTGGAAGCTGAACAAAAATTCAAACAATTCTTTTTAAACATGAATAATTGTTTATTTCTTTCATTTTACTAAATTTCATTCTGTGTCCTCAAAAGATTTAAATATCACTGCATAACTTTTTATCTGATAGGAAAGGTAAAAGGAAAGATGCATCTGTGGCACGAAACAGAGAAGATGCCATCAGGCAAATCAAAGCAGTTTTGCAGATTCCTTCCATGATTGATAATGGTGCTTTCACTACACCACCAGCTATAGCTGAGAAAAACAATAAACTTGGGGTCACTTTTATCGGGGCATCAAATAAAGGATCAGTTGGACTAGGTTAGTTTTTCTGAGGCAATAAGGGAATGAAAGTTAATTGTATTAAAAGGGGAAAGTGTGCAAGGGGCTTTTAGGGGACTTTAGGAATAAGAGTGGTACTTTTATTTTCACTCATTATTTTAAAGTTACACCCTAAAATTATGAAAATTTCTTGAGTAGCATACATTTTGTAGACTCAAACACAAGCTATACCATATAGAAGGACCTCCTTTTGTGATAACGGCTGTCCTTTTTATCAGGCTGATCTATACTCACAGTTGGAAACTTCAGCCTTTTGTTTGCTAACAAACTGAAGAAAAACGGCAGATATATTCATTTAAAAGAAAACACTTTAAAATAACAATTAAAAACAAAGTTACCGCTTAAGGCCAACCATTAAAAATAAATCTGTGTTCATATCAACAGGCAAAGTGACCAATGATGAAAGGTTCACCAATGAACTGGGAAAGTCTTTGAAACATTTTGGAAATATAAGGAATTCCTCTAAAGAGGTCGTGCTGGACAGGAGGAATAAGGAAATCTTGTCAAGTGCACGGCAGCGTATGATGGGTGGTACAGTCAAGCAGAAGTGAGTTGTTTATTCATTCCTATTCTTATTCTGTCCAATTTTTACTAGGGGGAGGCATTGCAGGGAGGTGCAGTTGGCTGCATCCCAGAAGGTTTGAGGCCTGCTGAAGGTTTATATTAACTTTGAGGGTGTCCTTACCACATCCCATATGCCAATGGTGTGGTCTTCTTCTGGTTCCAAAACCGGAGGGCCTGTGTTGTAAGCTTGTAATCCAGGCTGATTGACAGGTATTCTGACCAGATGACTAAATTAATTAATTCATTGTAGGGCCATTTACTCGCTGACTTTTGTGGCACCAACCATTTGTCTTATATCCTGATTCCGAATGTGGTCCCTTCTCCTTTTACCAGTTGACATCTCATCTCACAGTGGAAGATTCATTTCCTCAAGAGTGGTATGCATAGTCCAGTTCTCGTGTCTGTTATGACATGTAACAAGTGCTTCTAATCAGACTGCTGCATGTTTGATTTAATTTTCAGCATTCATTATTTTATCAACCATGTTTGAGCTTATTGAAATGTATCTGAGACAGCAGACTTAATGGTTGCAGCTTAGTTTTCAGTAGATTTTCAAAAGATAATTTGTTTGCATCTCCATCTATATTTTTTAAGAAATTGTAAAAAGGGAAAAACTATTTTTCCACTTTCAGGATTGATGAGATTGACCCAGACCTGGCTAAATCATTCAGACCTTTGCTGCCTCCTCGCGGCAGCAAGAACAACCCACCCTGTTTTATGCAGGCTAACAACTTTGGATTCACTACCAAAGAGCTACATGATGCAAACTTATCCACCTTGAATTTGATAGACTCTTCAGAGCGAGCACGTGACTTTGAAGGTGTGGGCGCTATGGGTAGAACTCTGCTACAGAAAACTAAAATCATCAATGAAGTAGCTGATTCATTTAGCACTGGTTCTTCATCCTTACATTGGACTCATTCAGATGTTGGCGGCCGGAAGAGACCCTCTTACACCAGGAATAACAATTTTCATAGTCGGTCAGTTCGGTTGTAACTTAACTGTATTTATGTTAATGTTTGTCTTACTCCAGGCTTGTTTACAGAAACCCATTTGCAATGGAAGTGATCTGCTTAATGGAATCTTTGAGAATGGATAGGCATCATTTTTAAATTTAGAAATTTTTATTTCATTTTATAACATCTGTATGTCATGAATAGGGCAAAATAGGAAAGACACTACCAAACAGAATCTTTCAAAAGAAGGGGAAACAAATCTACTACATGGATTTACCAAATGATTTGCCTTTTACCAGATCCCAATTTAAATTTCTCCATCCCTCATCTGTCCAACAACAAGGCTTTCATCCATTTATAGAATTTTGACGACCCTCTATATTTAACAACAAAATTATAGATAAAGTAATATTTGTTCGTAATAGATTTATTTTAAGACTATGTAAATTATTTCAGCAACAACTTGTTAAACTCAAAACATATTGTGTTGAGAAGTAAACATTAATTTGTAATCATATGAAATGGAACTGACATTTTAAGAAAATGTAATAATATTTGAGACATATTCTATAAGAAGCTTAAAAAATCTTATTTGATTTACTTAAAAATTTGTACGTATCTAAAAATTTCCAAATATTTTTTTGTATGTTAAAAGAGCATATAGTTTATTTCACTTTTGGTAATGAAAGAAAACGTGATTTTCAAAAAAAAAAAAAGGATATTGAACTTTATGTAAATGTAAAATTTGAGGAAGAGAGTGAGTATGTGTTTGTGTTTAAGTCTGTTAAATATCTTATTCTTTGTTGGTCCTATACTGTGTTGCTCACATTTTAAAAATTAATTTACGCATTCATCCACCTGTATTACAGCATTCTCAAGTCTTTTGTCCAATTTTTCATGACTCTTACTAAGTCTTCAAGAATTTCACTGGTTCTTCTTTCCATTTGGAGCATCAGCTTTGTAATGCTATGGCAAGCTAAGGATGAGCCCTGTGCTTTCTGTTAACAGTTACTGTCATTACAAGCTCTGTCTTCTCTCATACTCAGGACTTCTTCATTTTCTGTTAGATCAAAGTATCTAACCCTCATTATCCCAAATTAGAAACAGTTGCACACAATAGAGGAAACAGTTGCACACAATAGAGGAAATAGTTGCACACAATAGAGGAAACAGTTGCTCACTTTTTGCTCCAAGTTTGTTCAACCAAGGAAAAATGTGTCCATAGATATCTAAACACAGCTGTGGTGTTCGATGCCCAGTAATGGGCAGTTTTTCTAATCAGATGAACTCGAAACAGGAGTGGGGCATGATGCTAAACCAGTCATAGACTATTTTAACATTTTTAACCACATACATTTTTCCCATATCTGTGTTACTGTATAGTTTTTTTATATATCAGATTTCAGATGTTAATTGTTCATATGATTATTATAAATCAATTTTAAAATATTTCTTGATCTGTATTAAAATGTTAGAGTATTTATGCTTATTTGTTGAGCTATGCATGAACTCTATTTCTGCAAATGTGTGAACTTGAAATGGGATGTGAATATTGTTTATTTTTAAAATTAAGAAATAAAATTAGGTTTTAATTATTACTGTTTATTTCTTTATAAAAAACTTGTATTCCTTAATACAACAAAATGAAGCAATAAAACATTCGTAACTCAGATTGTACAGTTACATTATTTATTTTATTAACTGCATTTGTTATAATTTTAATATGGCATGATTGTGATTCAATTTCTGATAAACTAAAAATCTAAATCCACTTTTATTGATTTATATATTTATAGTATATTGAGGAATACCGGTATAATATTAGTCATAATAATATGTTTTATTAAAATATTTAGATTTTTTTTTTCATTAGGCCTACATTAAAAAAAATAAATTCCAGTATTTCTTTTAAGTCACTGAAATCCTTGAGTTGCTATTTTTACCATCAACCTTTCTTGTAATTATAGTAAACCAAGATTTTGGTTTTATTGATATTAAAGTCTTTAGTTGAGATCTTGAATCTGGCAATTGTTTTCAACATTTGAATGCAATTTACCATTAATATTTACGTTGTCTGTATTTGTTAAATTATACTGCATCCCTTTACTGATGATAATTATTATTTATTTTTTTGGGGGGGGAGGGGGGGGGGGAAATGCTTGTTTTAAATAGTGGAACATAAAGGAATCTGTATTCATTTCTTTATTGTTAAAGACAAATCATGTTTTTTTAATTAAAACAAAAAATTATTTTAAGTATTCATTTCTTTATTGTTAAAGACAAATCATGATTTATTTAATGAAAACAAAAAATTATTTTAACATGGTCATGGTTATCTTGCACAGAGGTATCTGCAATAAAATTGTTTGAATTACCCGAGCAATCATGAAATCCTGTGATGATAGATATTGTTATTTTTTTTATTTCTTTGATGTATATAACTCTACAGATGACTTTTAAATATTTGTTTACATTTTTTATTGATATATATAAGTCACATTTTTGCTATTTATTACACAACTGTTGTTAGAGCCATTTTATTTTATCTAATGTTGTCATGCTAATATACATATTCTTGTTTACATCCTTGCAGCCTCTTGGCTCTTTATCCAGTTTGAAATTGTGTTTAAATGATCAGCAACTGCATAATGATTTGACACAGAAAAAAAATATAAAAGTAAAAAAATATATTCCAGTGTGATTTTTTTTTAAAGTCTATTTCTTTTTATTTTTAACGTTAACTTATTCTGAAGTGTTGACATATCTCTGCTCATTCACATTGTGTTATTGTGGAGATTATAGCCCGAACTACTCCTGTTTCTTACCAAAAGTTGATCTATTCATTTAAGTTATATAACAAAGGCCTTGCTCTGGCTCTGGCTGCATTTCAGGGTGATGTGTGTAACTATAACTATAAGTGTTTTCAGAATGGTTTTATTCATAAAATCATTGTTTTTTTATTCGTATGAAGCTTTTTATAAATGAGAATGTCATTGATAATCCAAAATATCTTAATAAAATGAATTGACTTAAACACTATAAAGCTATGCATAATAATTGTTTGTTTTCTTTGTTCAAAATGATATGAATTTTGAAGGATGTCTGCCAGTGTCTCTTTTATTTTTATTCTTAATATTTTTATAAATAATGGTGGCTTAAATTTTGTAAATTTATAACTGTAATCCATTATTGCGTAGATTTGTTTTCAAACTTTTTAAAATTTAATTATCCAATGGTCTCAATGTATACCTGGACTGATTTATTTGTACTGAAATGTTTGCACCCATATGAGCGGTTTTATTCATGTATAAATACAAATAAATTGTGATGTCTAAGACATTGGTATTTCAATTGTTCATCGAAAATGCATCTGTAAAAGAATATATTTCAATTGTTGATTAACTAAATTGTTTTATTCATGACATTAATCATCTCTGCCTTACTACAGATGATGAAAATTAAATGGATGTCTACTGCTTTCATGAAGCGTTTTGTGTTTTGGTTTTTAAGCAAAGATTTGAGCAAGATTTTAAACATATAATAAGGTCTACCATATTTTTAATGGTTGGGAACGTGACATATGTAAGTAGTTGTGACTCGTGGCGTACATACGGGGTGAAGGTGGCACTTTTGATAACATCTTTTATGAACAAACAACGTTACGCAATAAATTTGTGTGGCGCAGTTTTAGGAATTCGCCCCAGACGCAGTTTTGTGAATGTACACCACTGGGTAGCACACAAGGGCTTAAATTTCAGCGGCCATATCTTTTGATTGGCTAAGCCTAGGTGAACTAGGTGCCTTCAGTCAGTGGTCTTAATTAGGCACTGGCTGGACAAGTGATTATTAATAACTACATGACGAAATACTGATGTACTAAACTAATATTACTTCCAGTCAGTTATTCAGTAAACACTCAGTTTACAACACATCAGGGATACTTTTTGTACTGCAAGTAATAAACAGTTTAAAAAACAAAGAATACGATAGTGCCTAAAGAGATTTTTATCAGAAGTGTTTCAAATTTTTCCCCCTATTATAATATATATATATATATATATTATATGTTAAAAAATTATATGTTTTGATTAGAGTATTCAATATACGGATAAATTAGGATAGATATATTTAAAGGCTAGTTACTCTAATCAAAACATAATTTTATTGTTGTTGTGCCCCCTAGTCTACCATGTTGTTTGTTATTGGAAGTCATAGTAGATAACTCTGCTTCCTGATTATCGTGGGGAATTTACTAATAAAATAATTTTTTAAAAAGCAGTTTGTCACCATATCAAAATAAAATCATTTATTCCAAAAATCATGCCTGCTAAAGAAAGAAAAATAGCATTTATGGGATTTCGATCAGTTGGTAAGTTATAGTGTTATGAGTGTTTAGTTTAGTCTTAGTAAACTTAGTCTTAATTTGCTTGATTGACTTTCTTTCTCTATGGGCTGTGACTGAGTCTGATTGACTGAAACTAATACTACTGATTTAATTTAACTGATAGTGGCAGAGCCTGAGATTCCTCTTGAAAAATCTTGATTGAATTTAAATTAATTCAATGAATAATAATTATCATTTTGAATTATAATTGTCAAAGTCATAGCATCATCATCATCATAGATTAACATAATTTTTTTTATGGCAATATCAATATGGTTACTTAAATTTTATAATTACGTACTAAACTAAATTATTTGCCTTCAGCCAGACCACTCCATGCCATTATAATAATTTGGCCTCATGCATGATAAATAATTTTATTTTTAAACAATCAAAGTTGAAACTGTAGACAGAAGACAAAAAGGTAAGGCAGTGTCTACACGTCCGGCGCGCCGGACGTCTATCTCCCGCACTATGTGTCCGGCGACCAAGTCACATGACCGCCGTAACAAAGTGGCGAGAGATATCTTGTCGGTCAGCCTTGTCACGTGACTGCGAATAATTCAAAACTATTGTTAATTTTAAAATCTTTTTCTCTACCAAGTAATGTACTGAGTATCTTGAATGCAAAAACTAGAAAAAGAAACTTAAGTGAAAGTGGCTTGTAAACATTTTTGTTTAGTTTGTTATTTTTTGTGTACCAGTAATCCATAAAATAAATTAGGGGCCAATTTGGCAACCAATAAAAGTTAAAGATTTCATTTTAAATTATTTCAATTGCTACAAAATATTTAAAAACTTCTCATGAAACTACTGTTGCTGAGGAACATGATAATATAAATATATAAAAAATATTTTAATTAAAATGGGAAGAAAAAAAACGACCCTATCCCCGGTATAGATCCTCAAACATTCCTATCGTCAAGCAACCACTCTACCACAAGACCAGACAAGATATACTAAATCGTACTTCGTTTGGAATTATAAAAACTACTAGCCGTCCGGCCATGTCCGGCGGTCACGTGACAAGTCGCCGGACGTGTATCTTGTGCACTACACGTCCGGCGCGCCGGACGTGTAGACACTTCGAAAAGGTAAAGAGTATGCCTTGAGTAAAGAGGAAGGCCAATGTCAAAAAATAACAAACAAATTTATGTGATTCAATTAAAAAAATAAAAATAAATATGAAATAGGTTCATGTCATTATATTAGTAATTATTATTAGGCATGCCTAAATAAAATTGTCTTTTGTGGGTCATTGATTTATTAAGTTTGAGGCAAGGGACCAGTGGGGACTAAACCTAAATATACTATAGGGACCTCGGTATGATCCGGGAAGTGCCAAAAACCGGGTTTTGTGATTTCGTTGTCAAAATGGCGACCTCCACTTTTTAATTTACCGAGGGTAGTGTTGTTTAGGATTATTTTTGCTAAAGTTAGTTTTTTAATAAATTCTACTTCTGCCCTCAACTTAAAGCAGACACGTTTTTTTGTTCATTTGACACTTTCCTTTTAGAAAAAATTTGATGGTTTGACTTTGAAAATTAATGGTAAATAATAGCTAATTTGACTCATTCATAATTTTTTTGTAGAAAATATAAGTTTAAAAAAAGATAATACCAATGTTAGATGAAGGCATAATTAACAACATATCCAAAATTCGTGAGGTTAGGACAGTGCATGGGTGAATAATTTTTGCACAAAATTTTTGTCACGTGTCCCAAAATTACCTATTATGGATAATGAAAGTTTTTGTAGTAAGTAGCTTGATTTACGCTGGAAATCCAGCATATTACCCACTAATAATATTTTAAAACAAAGCAGCAATTTAATAGCTCTAATTACTTTTATCTGATGCTTTTATTTTTATTTTGAGTGGGGAAGTGGGATAAATAGCCCTGGCCCTATCCTTATTATATGATAACTAATAGTATAAATAATTCAATATATATATATATATAAATATATATANAAATAGCCCAATCCTTATTGTATGATAACTAATAGTATACATAATTAAATAAATATATATATCAGTTATAGAATTGTGGATGAGGTATGCGTACATTTTTGGGTTTGGGGAAAAATGGTTCAGCATAAAATGTTTTCACATTTTATGGTTCTTTTCTGTAACTTATTTTATTTAAAGTGAAGAAATAAGTGTGCAAACATATATTCCTTTCAATTACCTTTCATTTGATACT